TGACAAATACGCAGTTCCTAAATCACCTGAATCTGAACAGAATCTACTAGAATTGAAAATTGCCAATCTGAGGCAATTCTTTTCATTAAATCTTGAAGACTTGCTACAAATAACAGAGATCTGGCCATCAACTACTTACTATGTTCAGAATTGTTATGTTTTATAATAAAGTTGGGTATGAGGACTGGTTTACTTATGTTCCTAAATATCACTTTTAGGCAGCTGCATTTTTTTCCACTCTTCTCAGAACCTTTATTTGATCTCTTGAAAACTGATCTTCTTTCAGAAATCAGATATTGAGAAAATAAATATCTATTAATGTTTTAAATTCAGGTTTATGCTAACACCTGAAAGGTTAGAACCATAATCAAATCTGAAAATGAAGTTACTTTTTCTGTTATTTTTGCTATCTATGTACATGTAATTTTTTTTGTTTCTTGGACGCATGAGCCATTCTGAAATGATAGCATAAAATAGTTAAAAATTGCATTCTGGTCTTAATATCATATAAAACCTAGAGTAACTTACCAAATAGACATTCTTCACACTGCACTAACTTTCACTTCAGACTTCCTTCCAAGATATGCCTGATAGGAATAATTACTATGGTAATGATAGCCAAGCTGTAAACACATGATGAGATGTGAATAATAGAGCGTGCAATATATAATTATTGGTTGGCAATCAGTTTTTCTTTCCGTTTATAGTACTTAGCAAGAAGATTCTTTCAAATGAGATCAGAAACAGGTTTAGGCATCTCAGAAGTTCAAGTAAAATAGAACTGATGGGAATGAAAATAGTTTCGTTCCCCCTTCATGTCATCAGCCTTTCCCTGAAGTATAAAACACCTTCCTTTTGCTGAGATTCACAAGTGTCTCTCACAGACATTTGTGTTAGTGTTTTCCAAAGTCACTTTCTTTTTCTCTGTATGAGCTTGCTGTAGGAGCAATAAAATTGCCCCTACTTTTACACTGTCCTGGACTGCCAGAAGAATGGAATGGGCAATAATGAAAAATTTTTCTTACATATATCTCAATATGCTGCTCAGAAAAGACACTAAGATTTACATACCTCTTCCTTTTCTATGTGACATTAGATACAATGGCTTCTCAAAAAAATAATTGTTCTTTATGTTTTTCACTTTCCTGTTCTCACAATGCCGACTTGTAATCTTGCATTGATGTTGTTTGAAAGTCATTGAAAATAATAATTTTAATATGCTTCTTACTTTTTTTCAAACTTTTTAGAGCTAACTTGTTAGTCTGTGAGTTTTCTAGCAGCCTGGCCTTCATTTTTGATGATACTCTAAATGACATGACTTCCTAACACAAAAAAATTTCATTCTTTGCCTTGATAAAATTTTACTATGATTGACCTTGTGCCAAATGTCATCTAGTACATTTTTCACTAGAAGTTGCTTGGGAACTTTTGAATTAAACATGCAAATCACACTATTTTCCCAAACTTCCAGAGTAGCAACACATCAGGCTTTGGGTCAGACCTGAAGGACTTACTAAATATACTGAGACTTAAGAACCTTAAGCAGCAATCACCACATGGTAAAGTGTCCCACATTTAGTATGGATTCTATAGTACATTGGCACTCCTTAGCAACATGCAAGGCAGGATGAAGAATTCTGGAGAGGCCCCAGGCAACTGGAGACTTGCTAGTGTGACATCCATCGACAAGAAGGGGTTGGATGGAGGATCTAGGAATTCAGGCATGTCAGCCAGACCCTGGTATCAGGAAAAGTTATTGAGCAGATCATGTTGAGGGTGATCACACAGCTTGCGGAGGACAAAAAGGGGATCAGGCCCAGTCAAGATGGGTCCTGCCTGACCAATCTGACCTCCTTTTATGACCATGTGATGCGCTTAGTGGATGAGCGAGAGGCTGTGGATGTGGTCTACTTAGAGTTTAGTAAGTACTTTGACACAGTCTCCCACTGCATTCTCTTGGAGAAGATGGCAGCCCGTGGCTTAGACAGGTGTACTCTTCACTGGGTGAAAAAATGGCTGGCTGTCTAAGCCCAGGGAGTGGTGGTGAATGGACATAGATCTCTCTGCTGACTGGTAAGCGGCATTTCCCAGGGGGTTAGTGTTGGGGCGGGTACTCTTTGATATGTTTATCAATGATCTGAATGAGGGGATTGAGAGTGTTGGTTGGCAGCCAGCAGTGTGCGCAGGTAGTTAAAAAGGCCAATGTCATCCTGGGTTGTATCAGGACTAGCATAGCCAGAAAGACTAGGAAAGCGATGATTCCCTTGTATTCAACATTGGTGAGGTCACACCTCAAATCCTGTGTTCAGGTTTGGGCCTCTCACTACAAAAAGACATTGAGGTACTAGAGTGTGTCCAAAGAAGGGCAACAAAGTTTGTGAAGGGGCTGCAGCACAAACCTTATGAGGAGTGGCTGAGGATTCTGGGATTATTTAGTCTGGAGGAGACTCAGGGTAGACCTTATTGCTCTCTACAACTACCTGAAATGAGGTTGTAATGAGGCAGGGGTCAGCCTCTTCTCCAAAATAACTACCAATAGAACAAGAGGAAATGGCCTCTAGTTGAGCCAGGGGAGATTCAGGTTAGATGTTAGGAAAAAATTCTGCACAGAAAGAGTGCTGAAGCATTGGAACAGATTGCCCAGGAAAGGGATGGAGTCACCATCCCTTGTAGTGTTCAAGAAACGTGTAGATGAAGCACTTAGTGACATGACTTAACAGGCATGGTGTTGAAAGGCCATTGTTGTTTGGACTTGATGACCTTGAAGGTCTTTTCCAACCATTATGATTCTATGATTCTAATTCTTCTTTATCAGGCAACAATGATGCCTGATTTAAACTTGACTATGGAAACTTTGGTGAGAGTATTTTCCCACTTGTTTCCAAGCCACTAGACCAAGGGAGAGCACTCAGCTACACACAGCCCAGGATGGCACAGAATATCAATAATGAATAACAGACCCACATTTCAACCAAAGATTCTTCTTCTTCACTGGAAGCAGCTTGCCAGACTTCTGAGTTCAATGTAAGATATATTTGTTTCACCTAGATTTTAATGGGGTGTTTTAAGGAAAGTTTTTCAGATCATTTTATTTTCCAGCTTCAGATGCAGTATCATACATTTTGCATTGCTGCTCCACTTGGATTTTCTCTGCCTAAATAGCTTTTTGAAGTTACGATAACTGAGGATATTTAAAAGTGAAAAGACAGTGCATCAATCAACACTACATAAATAAGTAGATACCTTACAAAGTACTTGGCATAGCTTACAAATGATGAAATGAAGATTAAAAGGCATTTTATGACTAATAACTTTGAAACAGTACATTGAAACTCCCAACAGTACATTTTAAAATCTTTTGTGCAGTATGGTTTTAGATTGCCAGTCTGGAGGGAATGTCATTGTCCCCTTTGTGGGGTTGGACTGCAGACAGAGAAATGAACTTTCCTCCTATTCAGTTCAGTTAATTTCCTGTTCTGCTTAATTTCATTCCATTAGTGTTCCATGTGTAAAAGGTTCTCTTTGTAAGCAGCTAATTGACACATAGCCCGTTAAATTCTTGAAAGCCCCAATCTCATGATATGAGAGCAGCATATTAGTGTCTCAATGAGAAAAAAAAATATCGTGAGAGGTTAGCTGTCAAATTTCTCCTTCTTGATAGCAGATTATCGTGCCTAATTTAGGAATTTAGGAATATTACTGGCACTGAGGGCTGGCAGGAGCAGGTCTTGAGTACAGTAGAGAAAAATTGAGGTATCCCAGGTTAGCAGGATATGCTGACCTATTGTGTGGAAATGAAAATAATGACGTAGGACACAGACCCTAGCAAACCAGGTGTTACCAGTGCTGAGGCAAAAGATGTTCATAATTACATGTGGACATCCTGTGTTTTTTTGTGAAGCTGGAAAACTTCAACTCATCCGCTAACTGTGATACATGGACTGCTGGTGAAATGCAGATCATCTTAGGGTGAAACATGTCAGAATTTGGGGAAGAATCATCCTTCTTACGCTGAGCTTAGCTCCATGTGCCTTATGACTGCTTATCTTGAAGCAAATCTGCCAAACAGTCAGGGAGCCTGTTCTTAACTTCTGTAAGTAGTTATGCGGAAAATAAATAAATAAATAAATAAAACAGATCTGGGGAAAGTTTCCCACCTCTAGTCACTAATATGTTTGCAAACAGATGGGTTGTTTTCAGGTCCTGTTCCCTTCTAATTTCTGCAGGGAAATGCCAGTCCACAACAGGTGGCATTAGCTCTCCACATGTTGTGTTGATACTGAGGTGGTCCTTTAAACAAGCTACCTTTGTTTAATGCTATCTGGGGACAAGCATCTAAAGCAGGTTTCCTAATACAGAGACTACTAACACCTTGGGAATACTAATAGTGGTAGTGCTAGTGGTTTGCAGGCTGTGTGGCTGCCTCACCAGGACACATAGCTCTTTCAGACTTGTTCTTTACATCTCCTATGAGAAAAGGCAGAAAAGAACAAATGCTGAAGTCTGCTCTAGAAGAAGCAAGCCTAATACAATTGTGATGTTTTCTTTTGTATCTGTGAAATTGTATAATGCTGTTTATGCAGAATTCTCTCTTTCTCCATGGGTTGTGAGCATAACAGACGTCAGTTTTTGTTTGAGAAAAGATTCTTAGCCTTAGCTGAATACGCTGTCCAAGTGCCTGCAGCTAAAGTAAAAGATCTTTTGTAGGAACTACTTGTTACCACTCAGTTTTACCAAATGTTCACATGTGTTGTTCTTTAGCATATGAGTAACCTTGACCTTGTTGAGTCAAAGGATCAAGCACATACTTAGCTTGACATATGTTTAGCACTAACTGGATTGGAGCCTAGTGCATTAGCAGCATAGTAAGGGCATTTTGACACTGCATTATTGTTTTTAAAGTCTATATTAAGTTACATAATTACATCAATTACTACATTAAGTTACATAAACTGTGTACATCAAGAATAAACATGCTTTTTTTCTTTCACACTTTGCAGAACGAGGCTCAAAAGGACATCTTGATCTCACAGAACTAATAGGAGTTCCTCTCCCTCCCTCCGTCTACTTTATCACGGGCTATGGAGGGTTTCCAGCTTACAACTTCGGCCCAGATGCTAACATCGGCAGATTGACAAGTGCTATAGTGCCGCTGCCTTTCTACAGAGATTTCGCTATCGTGGTTACAGTGAAACCAAACAGTGATCGGGGAGGAGTGCTCTTTGCAATAACAGATGCCTTTCAGAAAACTATTTACCTGGGAATGAGGCTTTCACCGGTTGATGACAACACCCAGAGAATAATTATGTACTACACAGAGCCAGGTTCCCATATTTCCCGAGAGGCTGCTTCGTTCAAAGTACCAGTGATGACTAACAGGTGGAACAGATTTACAGTGACTGTGCAGCGAAATGAAATTGCTTTGTTCATGGACTGTGAAGAGTATCAGAGGATTCAGTTTCAGAGATCAAATCGAGCCTTGATGTTTGAATCTGGCTCTGGTATATTTGTTGGCAATGCAGGAGCAACAGGATTAGAGAAATTCACAGTAAGTACCATTGACATATTCACATGTCTCAGCACTGTAAATATGAGCTCTCTATCCGATAAATTCTACTTGCAATGCCTAAATCTTAAGTTAAGTTTAGGATACAAATTACATAACTCACATTTACCATACCAGGCTGTTATTTGGGCAGTGCAGATATATAAGAATTGTAGTTTAAAATTCAGATATTGTTAGGACCTCCAAAGTTTATTAATGGTCCAGCGATAGACCTCAGTGTTGAGAGTGAGTGAAGGAAAATTTGAAACTATTATTAGTTAGGTTATTCCACATAGAACACCAGGAAGATGTGATACTATGAATTATATACAAATCAGACCAAGAAAGTACATCAGAGATTTGGAAGATGAAGATCTGTCTGTAAGTTGTATACCATTTGAAGCTTATTAGGCACTCTAGAAAAATCGAACAGACATAACCATTACTAAAAGCTCCTGAGCCTTAAGAGGTTGCATGAAAGCATCTTGCTGTTGGGCCTAGCCAAGAATTTTCAGCTACTGAACTTCCAAATGCAAATACAAAAGCTGTCAAAGTGCAAGATTTTGGCAAGCTGCCAGACTGAAATTGAAATGTCACACTTTCTTTGTGTTTTTATGTCTCCTTTGTGTAGTAGATACAATTTTGTGAAACTAATGTCTCTTAAATTAGTAAAGCAGCAGTGCAGATCTGAGCAGATCCTTTACTTGGGTAAAAGAGGATGCTCTCTCCGAAGCTCAAATGTCTTTACAGTTGGTGAGCTCTAATAAGCAATGACAAAACTGCCCACTAGTGCTACCTTTCGTTGCAGATATGAGTGGATGAGTGGACTATTGGGAAAGCTTGATTGGTAAGCAGGAGTGAGAAATATTTAACAAAATCAGAGCATTTTGGTACTCCACCTGGAAAATATGTGTGATGATTATTGGTGATGATTTCAGAAACTGAATCTGTAAATATGATGATAGAAATGCATAGTGGGTTACAAAATAAGCATTTCCACTGAAACAGGCAGTTCTGTGCACTACATGGAGTACATAATTTTGATCCATTATCCTCTACATGCTTCAGGTCCATTAATTGTGACATTTATTCTAGGTTATTTCTTCTTGCATCATATGTTGCAGTTGCTTCTGGGTAGAAAAACTGTTGATTCTTCCTCAAATTCTCTCTGTATGACAAGAATTGCTTACCTTTGATGCCCAAACCGGAAATAATTCACAGCAGATTGTGCAAATGACAAGATTATGAATGGATATGAATCCTGTGAAAATGAAACATCATTTTCAAAAAACTGCTGAAGTCTCTGATCAATGTCTCCTTTCATATGTAATTTGTCAGTGAAGCATCCCATTATTTTGGCATAGCTCAATATTTCAGTTGCCCATTGCTGAGTTTTGAGGGAAATAAATTACTGAAGTGCTGTCTCAGATTGTCTGCAAACTCAGGAAACATTATGAGTTTCCTGGTTTTTGCAGTTACATAGACTAGAGGCTAGATAGTTGAAAAGATAATCTCAGATTTTGTTCTGAAACACCAGAAGCACTATCTCAAAATATTCCCTTGCTTATAATTTCCCAAGGCTTCTTGGGACAGGGAGAGATCAGCTGTAGAGATAAAACGTCAAGTAGAAAACCAGACATAGCAGCATATACAAAATGTTTCTGTTTCTGTACTTCACTGATAGTCCTGAAACTTATTGTACCATTTGTTAGATTTTCCAGTTCTGAAGTTTTCTATATTTTGCAAAAACAGAGCAAAAAAAAAAAAAAAACACCCCATATTACCATTATAAAAATGAGCTTTTTGTTTTGAAAATTCATGCTTCAGATAATTTCCAAAGTAAGTCAGACCAAAGTTGCCAATTTTTTTCTTCATACCTGCTACTTAGAGTATTACTTCTTTTATTTGCTGTTGTTGCTTCATGTAGGGCTCTATTCAACATCTGACAATCAAATCTGATCCAAGGGCTACAGAAGACCAATGTGAAGATGATGATCCTTATGTAAGTATTTCCATACTGTTTTCAGTGCCTGTACATTTCAAAATCAGCTGTCATAAGACATTTTCAATAAGACTAAATGTAGTATTGTTTTTCCTGAGAATATCCTACAATACTTTACATGTGAATGACAACTTCTTTTTTATCTTTGACATAGCCCCTATAACTGTGATTTTCAAAGACCATCTTTTTCTTTTGTCCGTAACACCTTTGACTATATGAACTAAAGGGTCATCTTCATGAAATGCTTTAGTACTGAGATAAATTAACATAATAATGAGACTAAGGCATTACTTACTGAAGAAAAATGATAACTAAACCGTATCTCCATTGAAGCAGTAAGCTCTTTGGAGAATATGCTTTTTGTTCTGCTGTGCTTTTATATGAACTTGTTATCATGATTTGTTTTTCCTTAGGCTTCAGGAGACATGAGTGGCAATGGCAGCGTTCAAGAACAAGAAGGTATTCCAGAGACACAAGAAGTGCTTGCACCTTCTCATCTTCTCATAAGGGTAAATTTATTTGGTTTATTCAACTTTTATCATGGTTTAATAGTCATTATGGGAACATAATGTGCCCATTCAAGGAAGAATTTGACCCCAGAAAAATCCAATTTAAAGCAAGATTGTTTAGAGCAATTCACTGTCAGCAATCCAAATGTGGAGGGTAACCCAATGTCATGCTTTTTTCCAAATACTTTGAACTCTCCAGAATCCTTATCTTTCTACATCAGATGTGGCTAAAATAATCTGCATTACAATAATTGTGAGTCACTAGCAGCCCACCTATGGGAAGACTGTCAGGAGAGGGCAAAAATGCGAAAATGATCTTTCCCTCAAATATTCCACAAGTCTGAAGCAATTTTCATCTCAATAAATGCCTGATATAAGAATGTATTGGTTTAGTGAACCTCAGCTGACATTTCCTCCTTGAATTTCTCTTTTTTTTCAGCCCCTAGAAATTTTAGCATCCTCACTGTCCGGCCAGAGTTCTTTAGCTTGTAATAGAAGACAAAGTGAATCGTTGCTCCTTGACTCATTATAACATTTATGATTTCAGAGATTTCAGTCATAATTTGTCTACTTTCCCATTTTGTGCCAAGCTCAAATGTTCATGTACCAAGCATGCCTTTCTGATTCTCATTGATTGCTTTTAGGTAAATAAGGATGTTTCCTGAAAAAATAGCTTTCTTTTTTTTTACAGAAAAACAAGCTGACATTTCCCCAATATAGTACATACCTCAGCTGTTTCATTATTGAGTTCTTTTATAACTACTGGGCAAATATCAACCAATCATGATGATCTGTTGCCATTCATTTGATGTGTTTCCTAATCTGTTCTTACAGAGACCTCAGAAAAATCTCAGCTGAGTCTATCATGAACAGCTTTTTGCAGAATGCATTAGCTCTTCCATCATCAACATGAATGCTTTTTTCTTTTTACTAAGATTTAACCTTCACAGAGCACTCATTTTACAACTTGTTTATTTGATGACCTGACTTCCTTCTCCTGACATTTTTGAGATGATATTTATTAATTTTTTTTTTTTTTTTTTTTTTTTTTGCAAATAGTTGCTTAAACTTTTTTTGGTCTGCCTTATTATCCTTGTCACGGAATCACAGACATAGAGAATAATGGAATTTGAGAGGGACCTCTGTCTTGTCCAATTCCCTGGAGTTTCCTTTTCCATTATTCTGTAATGCAAATTATTCTCCATTCATCACTCATAAGCAGTGAGAAAGAAGACTCTCCATTGTTCTTATTCAGTTTTACAGACACTTTTTTGTTAGTTGCTTGTCATGTTTTTGGACTGGGTAGAAACAATGAAGGAGCTATGAAAAAGTCCTAGTTACCATTACTGTGACTCTGTATGAGCTAATTACCCCAAAGTTTATCTTGCATAGGTTTCTGAGCCAAATATCATAAGCTGAGAAAGCTGGTAATGATAATTTTATTCAAATATAAAAAATTCATGTCAAAATATTTTCTTGGGTGGCACAGCTATTTTTTCTAAACCCTAAATTCTAAAATCTTTTTTTTTTTTTAATCTAAAATACCTGAGGACTTTAAAAAACCTACCAATGTACATTTCTTTTAGCAATATATTTAATGTTTATGCCAAATATGAAATGTTTGAATGCCAATGACTCATAGGATTTGTATGTCTTCCTCTACAACTACCTATGGTGTTTTAATGGTCCTGTTCTTTAGGAATATTAAACAAGAGACAGAGAACTGAAAACTTAGTAATGAATACAGTCATTTATAGATGTTTCAGAGAAAATTTACAATCATATTTTACTCTGAAAAACTGTTGAACAAACTCCCTAAATCAGCATTTGAAAATAAACTGTTGCTGAGCTGGAATTAAACAAATCTTGAAAATACTACTTGAAAATATAACTGCTGAATAAAGAAGCTTATCAATGTCAGTGATGTATATTCTGATTTGTCAAACTTTTATTCTGTCAAACTCTGAGGTAGGAATGGTTGACATTCTTTGGCCTGTTTCAAAATATATCAATTTCATGAATTTCATATAACTTTTATCTCAATGAATCAGCTGAAAAGGCTTTATTTATCACTTGTAGAAGACGTCTCATCATGAAGACTATTTTTTTATGGATTTTCTCTGCTACTTAGTTAAACAGGCCAAAAACAAACAAACAAACGAACAAACAAAACTGTCTTTGGCAGGTCTCATTTACAGGGATTTTAGAAACTGTATAGCTTTTACTACTCTGGATGTAGTACATGGGTCTTCAAGGACAGTTCAAGTTTATTGGACTCACAGGCTTTCCTCACACAGGACGAGTACTCTCCATTTTGTTTGTACATTTTTATTAACTTACAGAATAAGAGTATAGGATTGCAGGATAATTCAGGTCAGAAGGTACCTCCAAAGGTCATCTCACCAAACTTCCTGCTCTCCCAGAAGCCTTTCCTCTCCAAATGGAAAAAGATCATGAAGAAACAGCATCCAGACTGAACTGGATGTTCACTGAATGTGCAGAAAGTTAGATTTGGGGATTATAATTATTATTATGGTTTTTGTTTTCCATTATGTAGCTTCATTTTTAAATGCTTCAAAAGAAAACTTTTAAATTTTTGTCCTACTGTTATTTATTTTCTCTACTTGCAAGATGTTGTGTTGGGGAGATCTGGCCTTCCAGTTTGCTTCATAGAATGGTAGGGGCTCTAAAGATCATCTCATCCAGCCCCCCTACTCAAGCAGGGAACATGTAAATAAATGTAGTACTTCCGATTATTAAACTTTGAGGAAGGTAACATGATTCATGCTTTAAAACATGTGTTAAACCTTTTCTCTAAATAGTTCTCTGGGGTTTTCCATTTTTTAGCCTGAAGATACGTCAGCTGAGCCAGTGGAAGCTCCCCCAACTGTATTGTCTCGTTTGGAAGAAAATGATTTCTCAGGACATCACATATCAGAAGAAACCACTGAACCAGCTAAAATTAATGAACAAGGCACTGCCTCTATTGGGTGGAATGGGAGGGGTCTTTTTTTCTGTTCTCTAGGTTATAGTCTGTAGTTCTTCTGTACATGAAAATCCCCTTTAATATCCCTTGTGCTTCCAAGAATTACTTTTGGCATCCTACATAATAGAAAAAAATTAGCATGTCAAACACTTGGTCTTTCAAACTAGCAGATTATAATTGGTAATTTGTTCATAGCAGCAAAACTGGTGGAAACTACATCCACCCTTCAGCCTAGCTCTTCTACCTCTCCTTTTTTACTAAGTAGAGATGTTTATCATCTCCGCCATTGTTATTTAATATGAGGAGAACATGTTTATCCTTCCATACTATGAAAGTTTTAATCATTTTTAGTAAGAAAACAGTGAAGAAAACAATTTTTTAAAGTTTTCCTTTTAGGGAAATTCTCAGTAATAATACAGTAATAATGTCATAATGATGCAGACAAGATTACCTGCCATGCTGCTGCTGAGATAGTTTAAAGCACTCCAAAAATATGCAGATGTTAGACAAAAGGAAGGAAAGGAAGGATTTTTCTACTAAAATCAGCAGGAAACATGGCATGTCTTAGGAAGAACTTCTGTAAATAGTGCTACTGGATCTAAAGCAATGTGGCCCGTTTAAAAGGAATTTAACATGGATATTTAATTTGAATATATGACTATATCACAGTAATGATCTCTGCAAAAGATTTGAATCTGCCTAGTATATAGGAGGTATTTTGCACACAAATGTAGGCAACAAAGTGAAAAACCTAGGATAGAGCATATTGAGGAATCCCAATCCTCTGCCAGTAAAATAATTTTTGCGCACACTTAGAGAGCTAAGACTAAAACTAGCTACCTTAATAAGATCAAAACAGCTTACTTATTTAAGTTTCATATATATATCAAATAGTGCCTGCCGTATATATCATTCACATCTAACATTATGCAGGTGAAATAGAGGTAACTAGTAGGTAAGAGGCTTAGACAAAGAAGAGGATACAGTACAGTCTCTTTGCTTTGTCTGCCCTTAAAATAATCAGAGAATCACAGAATCCTTAAGGTTGGAAGGGACCTTACGAGATCATCTAGTCCAACCCCCTGCTCACGCAGGGTCACCCAGAGCACGTGGCACAGGGCTGCATCCAAGCGAGTTTTAAAGATCTCCAAAGAAGGAGACTCCACAACCTCTCTGGGCAGCCTGTGCCAGGGCTCTGTCACCCTCACTGTTAAGAATTTTTTCCTAAAGTTTCTGTGGAACTTTTGGTGCCTCAGCTTGTGGCTGTTTCCTCTAGTCCTGTCGCTGTCCACCACTGAAAAGAGGCCACCCCCTCCTCCTCACTGCCTCCCTTGAGGTATTTATAGACACTGATCAGGTCCCCCCTCAGCCTTCTCCTCTCCAGGCCGAACAGGCCCAGCTCTCTCAGCCTTAAAATACGTACTCGCTTTGTAATTTTATTCTATTTTCTCTCTTTTTTTTTCTTTCCCTTTAAATATTCAGAATTATGAAATGACTGATATTCATCCCTGGAATGTATCTCTCTCTATATTTTGGCCCAAAATAAAGTATTATCTTTCTTCTTTCAAACTGCTTGTGGCATCTATGCTCTAGTACATATATTTGAATGCATGTCATTTTGTTCTGTTCCTCATTAATAAGGATTTTTTTTGTTTAGATTCGACTGTCACAGAAGCTGGACAAGGCAGCAGTGAATCTACCTCTGTCACACAGGAAACGTTAAGAGAAGATATTGGCTCTGGTGTTACTGTTTTGCCAGGAGTGAGCAATGGGAAGGTCTGTACAGTGGGTTTACCCTTTTGTCCCGGGAACATATGAACTTTAGCATGTGAAGCATATGAACTTTAAAGTGCTTTTCTGCGTGGGTGTCTTTTCTATTCTAACCTAGCAATATGCCAACACACAAGTTGTTTCTTATATTCTTGGAATTTCCTTTCATGACGTGAGATTGAAGCACATACAGGCACGGTGCAGAAGCTTGGATTTACATCCATTTCTGCCACTGCGATTGGCTTGAGATTTTTGAATAGGAAAGACAAATTAGTTCTCTGATTTTTCACCACTTTTATTCTGCATTAAAGAATGAGAGGAAGGAAGGAAGAAAATAACCAGCATTAGTCCTCTTTACAGAATCCCACACTTTTTCTTCTAGAAAACCAGACATCTTGATTTAACTCCTAGTAATTGCCTCATGATCCTTCATGTCCTGTTTTATTCTCAATACATAATTCTTCAGCAAATAAAAGATTCAAAATGACATATTCTCAAGTGCTCCATCTAGTGCTTTCTATGAAACATGAAGTAAAGTTTCTATGAAACTATGAAGTGCTTTTTTGATTGCTCCTTTTTCATGTGAATCCAAACAGAAAACTGGCATGAATATGCACTAAACTTTGGAGGAATCCATGTCCAAAATGTGTATTACTCGCTTGTCTTTTGAATGCCCCCTAACAACTAATCTGAAAACCTGAGTTTTTAAAATATATTGCAACAGATAGTTTTGCCAGACAGTGTTATCTATGTCATCTGTAAGTAGTGCTAGAACTTACCCCCAGTTCTTCAGCCTCTTCAGTACATAGACATTCAAGCTAGCAGAACAACACACTAATGAGTAGCCTATAAAGTTAAATTAATTTTCCTTTTCATCTCTGGACTTTGGAAAAATTCACGGTAACAAAACCATGTGATTCACAAATCTGGTGATTCACAAAGCTTTTTGAAAAAACAATTTCTTTGATGAAAACTAGCATCCTGCAACTTAAAAATGTTGAATAATTATTATATTACACCCCTTCTAGTTACATTAGGTACTTTAACTACTAATATGAGCAGAGATATCTCGTTGTTGTTGAAAAAGTTTATAAACCCTGATGCGTTGTGGGTTTTTTTGTTTTATTGTTGTTGTTGTTGTTTGTTTTTTCAAAATATAGATCAAAAATTGACCAAATGTTCTATCTGTTCTACAACTTCCTTTTAAATTTTATCTATCTTAGCATCCATGCTTCACCACTGAAATAGTTTAGTTTGTTCTTTTGAGATTATTTCTTTTATGGTTCTAACTTCCTACTGGTCAAATATTGATAAAGGATGCATAGCAATCTTTTACACTAGGTTATTGCCCGTTTTTACTCTTTGCTACCAGCTTTCTCAATTTATCTTATGTTCCTTCTCTTTTTGACCACATTGGATATGTAGCACTCTCTTTTTACCAGTTTGAATATATATCATTCTTTTGGTGTTTGTAGCTCTTAGGGGAATCTGCTAAATCTTTTTCAATCTTATTTTTTCTCCCATACAAACTGAGTCTGAGAAATTATTCTTATCCAAATGTGCTTATATAAATTATTGATTGATACTGTATTCTATTTGTATGAATATGAAGTTAAATCATGGTTATTTACATGTAGTTAGCTAGATGCTTTTTCTTATTAAGCAATTTATTACTTTATCTCTATACAAAGCACCTTTATCTCTAATACAAACTGTCTTTGCTGCAAGCAGTGTATTGTTTGCATGATGCCTAACAGGGTTGTGAATATGTTGGAGAACAGGCATTCCAGGAAAAAAAGAAAAAAGGAAAAGTAATACAATATATACAAAATATATATTTTATACTTTACTTATTCAGGACCAGAAGGGTCAGAAAGGAGGGAATGGGCTCACAGGACCTCCAAGAGGGCCGGGAGTGGACGAGAGGCAGAAAAAAGATCAAGGACCTCCTGGGCCTCCAGGAAAACCTGGCCAAGATGGTCACCCTGTGAGTATTGTCTGCAGTTTTGAAATGGCGAGTTGTTCCTTACACATATAAAGGAGTGAGACTTCACAGACCTGTATATGACTATCAGTTAGGCATTCTCCAAGATGGATTTTTAGCTCCCTCAGATCAAGCCAGGAGTGTTACATCTGCTAATGATTACATAAGGGCCCAATGAAAAAGAATCCACAGAAAGCTGAGGGCAAACTACTGATGAGTCAACATTTCAAGGGTTCAAGGGAACTCTTCATTTCCACTTCCCACTCAAGGAAAGATTATCTTCAACACTAGCCCATATTGACTATGGCTGTATCTAGCCATTTTGCCCAGTTTCATCTTGAAAACTTTCTTAAAATAAAAATTCCACAGTCTCTCTTGGCAACATTTTGCATTGCGGTATCACCCTCCTCCCACACTATCTCCCTACCCGTAGTGTGACATGGATATCAAGATTGTTTTATACTTCATGTCCTTCTTGATCAAGAATACAAGATGTATCCTATTAAATTGAAGTATAACACAGATTTCATTGAACACAGTACTTGTTCCCAGTTCTGCTCAGTTTCTTCCTGATTTTGTCATGGTTTAATATATCCATCACACTGCAATTAATTGTTTTCTTGTTGTTGTTGTATGTTTGCTTGCTTGTTTGTTTCCCTCCCGTTTACTTCTTTGTTACAATGTTTTATTTACATTCCTAATAAAAAAAATTATTTTATTTTAGGGCATTCCTGGTAAAAGTGGATTACCAGTAAGTACCCTTTTATAAAAAGTTTGGTTAACTGAAGAAAAAAAGAAAAGGTATCTATTTTCAGAAACTCGGCTAAGCTTAAACTTAAGCAGTCAAGTGCTTTCTGTAGCTGCTTTCTTGGAAGCTGTAGTTAACAGAGCCCATCTGTTAATTCCCTCAGGCTGCCAACAGAGGGGCACCCAGATTTATAATAGAAATTTGTGGCCTCTAATTTGCAAAGCAAATAAGAGACATGACCATAAGCATCTCTACAGTGAATCCAACACTGGCAAGGAAGGTGGGTGGGTGGGGTTTTTTTTTTTTCAGAAAGAAACTGCAAGAAGAAGTCACACTCAAAACAGGTTCTTACCTGTTTTGTTACCTCTCAGTAAGAGGTGCCTCATACTCCCATGTTGCCTGCTTCTATTGTCAGGATATCTCTATCCTTCGAGATATCCTAGAGATATCCTATCTCTATCTCAAAGGACTCCTCAGTCCTTTGAATAAACTGAGTTCTGTCACCTGCACCATCCATCCATTCCCAATTACCTCTATCTGCTTTTTCTTTTCATACCTTCATGCACCACTGCCACAAACTTCCTGTCCATTTCTGCCCCCTGTAAGTGAGTCTCAAATGAAGCTGGTATTTTTAAAATAACCAAAAACTAAACCAATAGTCAAGGGATTCATTATGACTTCATCTCGTGTGTGAATGCTATCTGCACACATTGGTGTGCTCAGAGAAATTTAGCTGCTTCTGCAAATACTTAGCCTAAACTAAGTAAACAGGGCATGTGTCATTATTCTGTCTTAGGACATGAGATTTCCTTACATTTTCCTTAATAATAGAAGTCTGACTACATACAAGCAGAACATTTTCAAAGCAAATGATGAGAGAATGCCTTGTATTAAATTCTTCAAATATACTAAGATATTCAGGTCCAGACAATTATTTTTTTCTGTGAGGAAAAGGTAGAGAGGGACAGTACTTCAAAGAACCATGTGGCCGTGTTTGTTTTGTCTCTGTAGCTCCTTATAAAATAAACAATGCTGTATCTGTCATAGAATTTTTGTTGTGAATCAATCATTGATCAGCATTTTTTATAGCTGATGAGTAGCTGAGAACCAGTCTTGCATATATGGTTTTTCATCAATCAGATTAATGGGACTTCACTGAAAAATGAAATTAGCACACAGTAGGTTTATATGTGGCCATGTCTCCATAGGCCAAGGTTTGAGTACCTTATATCTAAAATCATGTCAAATACCAGTAATCAAGAAAAAAAAATGAGGAGAAAAAGTTTCAAATCCTACAGATGCATTTTTATGCATAATAAGTTTGTATATGCTCAATATGATACTGAGCTCAATAATAAGATTTGAGCAGCAGAATCGGAGCTGTCCTGCCAAAACACCATTAAGTAAAATGTGATTCATTTGTCTTCTGAGGTTTTTTTCAGTGTTCTAATTGAATTCATAAATAGTATTGCTTTATAATAGAGCTGACTTTGAAGTTGGTAGCATTTTTCTGGCCCATGTTCAAGACTGTCTAGGAAGAGTATACCCCTATTAGGTAAGGATAAGATGTACATATTTAGTAAAGTTATTTGGGATTAATTTGACTGCTGTAGTTTAAAATGAGACCAAATGCTATGTAATACCAAGCAGCACATCAAATGCATATCCTCAGGAAGCATCCAACTGAGTAGGAACTAAATATATTCAGGTACATCAGGGCAAAAAGTATTTCAGTAGAAGCTGGGAACAGGCTAGTTTCAATAGCATGATTTGTTGCACTCAGGGCAGCAGTTTGCAGCAGTGTTACCAATATATCTTATTCTTCTCTGTTGTCTATCATGACTTCCATATGGAATTAAAAATAGAGTTCTTCCCAATGTCCATATTCTCATAGTTTCAAAGTTATTAGCGAAGAGGCAAAATTCTAGCTTGAAATCTTCCTGCTGTTAGCAAATTTAGCAACTGTGGAACAAATGAGGACTTTCTTGCCTCCAAGATACAAAAACAAATAACAGACAATTTTAAAAGAAAATTCAAAAAGGAGAAGGAAGAAGAAATTTTATACAGAACTGTCACTATTCTAAGAGAATATAGTTTGGGGCTATTTTTTTTTTCTTTTTTGTCATCAGTGCTAGGTGGTCCATCCAGTTGGCATCCTATCAAATCTGAATATATCCTGCCAGATATTTCCATCAGCATTCCTCAAGCAGGCTTCACTGCTACTTTGATATGGAAAGAGTAGATGTGGCCAGAGATACCTTTTGGCACCATTAGCTACTTAAGTTGCTGTTCTGATTTCCTTGTATCCTCCCACTGTTTCTAAGCAAGTCCTTGAAATTAAGCACCATTACATCCTCTTTCTGTTCCTAAATGTGTGGTCTCTGACCTATGAAAAATATCATGTCTAATTTTAAAATATATTTTCTTTTAGGGAAAAAAAGGACTTCAAGGGTTGCCAGGGCTGAAAGGAAAAGCAGGCATGAAAGGACAAAAGGTATCTGTCTTGTTATTCTCCAGTGATCAGTCAAATACCCCTTTTGTTTGGCAATGCATTAATTTGGTACACTCAGAAAAAATATCAACAAATCAATAAATCAATAAAAAAGAAAAATCACAGGAAGAATTTAAAGATCTTTCATAATCCATCTGCATAAAAGCCACTGAATAAGGATGTTCCAAGATAATTGAAAACTTAGGCATAAGAAAAACACTGGGCTTTCAAAGAAGGCATGTAAAATGATTTTAATATTTAATAAAGTCAATTGTTATGTTTAACTGGCTGGTTTAACAGCAGCTTTATAATCATATTAATCTTACGAAATGAAGAAAGATGAAATATGAAGTAACAATGAAATCTGAGATAACAACTTCTGGGCTGGAGTGAGCTATAATAGATTAAACTATCATCAAAGCATGCGGTCACACAAAACTGGCATTCAGCCAGTTAGTCTAAGGGCCCAATTAATCACTTGTTTCAACTGTTTACCAAAACAATTCATAACTTCGCAAAGCATAACCCATATAAAAGTCATGTATTCAATTCAAAAGAGGCCAAAATGATTTAGAAAATAAAATTCATCTGCAGTATATGACAGGTCATTAGGCTACATGAAGAACTACTATAGCCTCTCTGACAAAGGCTTAATTTTCCTTGTAGTGTTTGTCAACGACATGATGAAAAAGAAGAAAAAATGGCCTGATTGCATTTCACAGTTAGCTTCCCCAATTTATAGGAAATCTGTTTGTTCACACTTTAGACGTCAGTCATTTCCAGGATGCTTGATCCCAATATTAATAATTTATGTTAGTATACCCAGCATATAGCCAGACTATTTTTATTTAGAATAAAACAGGAGAAGGTCACAAAATAGGGATGTTTACATTTCTTCTACTTATGAGCGAAGGGCAGAAAGAGTGGAAGTGTCATTTCGGAAATGCTTCAACTGCAAGTGTTATTAGGCAATGACAGTTGCCTCCAGAAACAAGTTGCCTCCATCTACAAAGACAAGTAAAACCAGCCTAGCGACTGATGGGTTTGCTGATCCTGCTTCCTTCTAGGATGCTTCTGCACAGCATCTTGGCCAGTGTCAGCTAGACCTCGCCCAGGCTATGCCTAGGCATGGGGCAGGAATAGCACAGCTCAGTGACTGTTCCCAGCACGCCACAAGATGATGTTGGGCTTAGTTTGACTCCGTCCATACTATGTGCTCCTCCAGTGCTGTCCCAGCAGGTTTTTTACCCAATACTGGTAATATTGACTGGCAACAGTGTGGTTCTCATGTTATTTCACGTTCACTGCAGCCAAACAACTTTACACAAAATATTAGCTTTGAAAACATAGGGCTGAAAGTGTTTCATTCTGTGAACAAAGCTAGTCTGTTCCAACTGACCGCAGGACCAAAGAATAATCCCTAGCCTCTTCTTGTTTAGTAGAATAGACCTAATTAGGATGATGCTTTGCCAGAAGAGACACTTGATCCTTAGTGAGCTGGCGTAGATCTGGGTCCCTGACTGTATATATTGCTACTTTAGTCAAGACAGCTTAAACTTTATCTTCCATTCTATAACTGGACTATATTTTGAAGGGATATTTCGAAGTGGTACTATGAAAATAATTTTGTGGATATGTGCAAAGCACTGTTTTACAAGTGCTAAAAATCGTAGTATTATGTTGAATAACACTAAGGAACACTGACAGTTTCATTTGCTGAGCTTTTCCTTGGGTATATTAGTTAAATCTAATTTCT